TTTATTTTTCCGATCCATGATTACGAAGTTAGATCGAAACATAAACTGCATTCATATAAGAATTATTTATAGCAGAGAAAGTAAACATTCGATTGAAAAAAGACAGCTGGCTTTAATTACGCTATGAAATATGAAAAAGAAAGTACCTGGCAAATTTACAAACAGATTTGAGAAACAATGTGAAAATAAGAAGTAGATATTATCAATGCTAAAAATCCAGTCACATTTGCCGCATGCAACACAACCAAGAAGAAATAATAATGTTCGAAATTTGGATTTATGGATTATCATTGTTTGTACTGGCATCAACGACCACATCAAACTCTACTGAGGATGTAGAGGTTCGGTTACTTGATAATCAAAATGCTCCATTAGTGGCGACTTTGGACATGTCGAAAGCAAACGAACGTGTTAAGCAGTTTGTAAGTGATGCAATCGAAGCAAAAATGAAAAATATAGAGGAAAATGAGAAATCTAAGCAGTATGTTAGTGATGCACTTGAAGACAAATTGAAAAATATAGAGGAAACTGTGAAATCTAAGAAGTTTTATAGTGATGCACTTAAAGCGATAATGAAAGATCAGGAAATTAATTTGAAATCACAAATTGCTAATGTTGAAAGGAACTTGACTGATCAGTTAACTGATTACATTGATAACAAAGTCGACAAGAAAGACGAAGAAAAAGGTAAGAAATATACATTTATTAACGAGGAGTTTCCTTAAAGCATTCCATCACATTTTTTAACGTCAATTAAATTATCACAATTCCTTCACATTGACTGAAAACCGTCGTTTCACTAAAAAGTAATATCACAAAAATACCGAACTCCGAGGAAATTCAAAACGGAGAGTCCCTTATCAAATGGCAAAATCAAAAGCTCAAACACATCAAACGAATAGATAACAACTGTTATATTCCTGACTTGGTACAGGCATTTTCTTATGTAGAAGAGATATATGCATAGGAGAGCTGTGAAACCTGATACTGATTTCTAGAAAAGACAATTTTCACCATCTTATGGCGTTTATATATATCTCAACTTGTTCAATTCGCTCGTGAATGTAACAACGTATTTGATATTAACGAAATAAATTTCTGTTTAACTGAAAAATTATTACAATAAGGTTTTCGATATCACAAACTAGTCAAAACGTTTACTTAATTTTATCATCGGTACAAGGACATCATTCGTAAATATAAATTAACATGCAGACATCTTATGCGTTCAGGTATTTCACAACCGATCTTTTATGGTCATATTCTATACAAAGCACAGAAATGTCGTCATTCACCTCTGAGTTTTACTGTGCGTATTGCTGAGTGTTTGTTTATTCTACGTTGGCTAGAGGTATAGGGGGAGGGTTGAGATCTCACAAAAAGTGTTTAACCCCGCCTCATTTTTGCGCTTGTTCCATGTCAGGAGCCTCTGGCCTCCGTTAGTCTTGTATATTATTCTAATTTTAGTCCATTTATATGTTTAGGAGTTAAGTGTGAATAGATATAAGAAGATGTGGTATGAGTGCCAATGAGACAACTCTCCATCCAAGTCAAAATTTATAAAAGTAAACCATTATAGGTCACAGTACGGTCTTCAACACGGAGCCTTGGCTCACACCGAACAGTAAGCTATAAAGGGCCCCAAAAAAAATTACTAGTGTAAAACCATTCAAATGGGAAAACCAACGGTCTAATCTATATAAAAAACGAGAAACGAGAAACACTTATGAACCACATTAACAAACGACAACTACTGAACATCAGATTCCTGACTTAGGACAGGTGCAAACAAATGCAGCGGGTTTAAACGAAGTCCATTTTCACTGAACTGGTACACATTTTAGTTTAAGGGACTATCTAAAGACCACCTCCGGGTGCGGGATTTTCTCGCTATGTTGAAGGCCCATTGTTGGTCTTTGGCTTTTCTTGGCTCTTTGGTCGGGTTTTTGTATCTTTGACATATTCCAAATTTCCATTCTCAATTTTAAGAAAAACAAACAAGAACATTCAAATATTAAGTAGGATCTTACAGGTTAAGAATTTTCTCCTCTCATAACAATTTAACGCCTTGTCGGGCTGAAATTTTCCCCACTCGTAATTTAAAGTATCTGTTAGAGTGAGGGTACACTATGCTGTAGTTGCTTTCACCGTTGTTTTGTTCACACATCGTTGTCAATATAATGGAATTTTATGCAACTGTCATACAAGTGAAAGGTTTAGCTAGCTTTAAAACCAGGTTTAATCCACCATTGTATACATAAGAATATGCCTGTACCAAGTCAGGAAAATGACAGTTGTTATCCATTCATTCAGTGTCTGAGCAGAAAGTTGATGAACCAGGGGTATGTCAAAGAACGTCTCGTCCTTTTTCTAAAAACGTTCATCGGAAGGTACCAAGACCTTGTTGATAAATATTCTGTATCAACTCCACAAATAATACACGATGGTCTTGAAGTATAGATTCTGCGTACTGACGTTTTGTATCATCTTAATAACGTGTTATAGTATTCTTTTATTTGTCTTTATTAATATTACTTTTACTGTTAAGTCTGTTTTTTGTGATATTCATTTGACGTGACTCTGTACTTATGTATCCCGTCATACTTTGAACGACAAAATTATTTTATATCTACCTTTGTGACGTCAAACGCGCGATTCTACGCCAGTACTTAAAACCTTCCATCCTTTATGATCGGATTTTACATAGATAAATAAAATCGTATAATAAAAAAGCAAAATGAGGATGTTAAATTTGATGTATGCCTTTTTGTGCGTCTTTGTTACATTTGTTTGTTTTTATAGTGATTAAGATGATAACACAATGTTGACTGCTGTACCCCTATTTTTGACATTTTTACCTATTGTGTCTGTTGATGTGTTGGAGCTTTTGATTTTGCCATTTGATTAGGGACTTTCCTTTTTGAATTTTCCTCGGAGTTCAGTATTTTTGTGATTTTACTTTTTGATGTGTTTGAGCTTTTGATTTTGCCATTTGATTACGGACTTTCCGTTTTGAATTCTCCTCGGAGTTCTGTTTTTTTGTTAATTTATTTTTGAAAAAACAATCATTATTTATCGCCTACTGAAATTATCATTTCAAACGATCATAAAACAATTCTTTCAAATAGGGATCCACCGAGTAAAGCTCACAAATAAAACTCCACGGAGCACCCAATACAAAGTCCATGATATATTAGGGAAAAAAAATTCAGTTTAGGAATTTTAATTAGACGTGAACTATCATGATGAAAATGATTGGAACTTTTTAATAAAATATGAGATACATCATATCAGTTTACAATTAAAATCCTGAGACTGTTGCAATGCATGTCGTTCATAATTTCAAGGGGATAAGAATGAAATGTAGATTCGAAAAAGTTACCGACCGATGCGAACGTGTATTTTGATTTGACAAGGGAAACCCCGCAATAATTTGGCTAAAAACAAAATGGGGTGCGCAACAAGGTGTTATAGCATGTCCATGGTGACAAATACATACAAATTATGATATTGAGATCTATAAAGTTTTAACTTTTACAAAACATATCCAATAGCAATTTTCAAAAATAATAAAAACATTGCAATAATTTTACTGCCTCATTTTCAGTAATCAGTATTGAGAGTTGTTAAATACAGATTATAAACAATTGTTCACATGAAAATCCCATTTTATAAAATGCATACTCACCATGCTATTACTATGAACTGAAATTTATGCTTGCTTGATTTTAAGGATGTTTGCATTTAAGATTTGATTCAACATGAAAATAAAAGTTTTTGACACAAACCAAGGGAAAACAGTGCAATACGAAGTAGATACCGTTATGGATCGACAAAGTTTTAATGGCCTAGAAATAAAACGAGATATTCCTTAAATATACTGAACTGTTCAAAAATAATTGCAAGGATTGAATAGTTTGTTTTTGTAAGGATTAGTATTATTGTTTTCTTTCCATCCATGAATACATTAGTCATACAAACGAAACACAAATATGAGAAGATTGGTTTTATTCAGTATTTAGGTTCAGTACTGCCTTTTAATGAAAATGGCGTTTTTACATAATGCTGTCTTGATATTAACATTCATTATTCTACTATTTTCTATATGTAAGGAGACAACATATGGGTCAATACTCTATGCTTAAATTGGAAGTGATAATTTCTCTTTTCGTTATAATTGGCAAACTTTGTGCCCTAAAATGAGTTTTACATTGGCGCTAAAATGTCCTTTTTTTTTTTTAAATATCCCAACAGAGTCTTTAAAATCTAATTTGAGTATACTCGCAATTTAAACCATGTAAAAAAGCCATATAAGGTACTTCATTTTACATGATATCATTCCTTCCAAGAGAATATTTCTTGAAATAACTCGATTATTTTCAAATTCAAAAATTGTTACTCAATTCTATTTTAAACATTCATCTTACTAACATTAACGGTACCAATTGTATTGCAACGGGTTCGTATTTCGACAACACATGTCTCTTCAGTGACGCTCGGGCCAAAATATTTGAGAAACCTTTATTAAACGATGAAGACCTTATGAACCAAACAGGACTAAAAGTATAGCCAAATTAAGCTGATTAAAATTCAGATGATGATTGACAACTTTGTCTTCATGTTGAAAAAATACAGGTACTAATTACAAAAAATGCACACACTACTTCAGATAAAAGAAAGTCCCCAATATATTAAATACTTCCTCTTGTTGTCTCTGAATTAATTGTGTTGTCTGTTTGTGTTCCTTTGAACGTATACCCAACATCCCGTTTTATTTTTAAATTAAAAAACGGATACGAATATCATTTAATTCAAAGTACTTATGAAGGAAGAAAGAAATATATAACTAAAAACTTTGATAAACACTTTACTCTTCTCATCTATAAGTCAGAAAGTTAGAACGAAATTAAACATAATCTGCATGCATATGACAAGTTTCTATCGCCGAGAAAGTAAACATTCTATTAAAAAGGCAGCTGGCTTTAACTAAGCTATGAAACATGAAAAAGAAAGAACTTGGCATATTTACAAAGAGATTGGAGAAGAAACGTAAGATTAAGAAGTATATATTGTCATTGCTAGGAATTCAGTCACATGCAAAGTACAAAAGAAGAAATAATAAATATAAGTTTCATCATTTTCAGATTAGCGATTTAGGACAAAAAGGGAATACATATATATACTGTAGCGTCCAGATACCACAAAAGTTCATGCCATTCCGAAGTACATACGCAAATCCCAAATATTGTTTAGAACTTAGTATTTTAGTCTTTTTTGAATTTTTAAGCAGGAATATTTATCCACGTGTAACCATAAATCTTACAAAAAATCCATCTAGAAGGCTTTTTTCAGGCTGATGGTGCATATTAGGCTTACCAAGAAAGATCGGGACCAAAATTTCGAAGCTATTCACATAAACAATTTGGGGGAAGATGACAAATAATCTTTAAAATCTTAAAGACCAACTTCTCTCGAAGTTTAAACTTTAAATTTAATACAATTATGACCCTTACTTTTTTAAACAGATGGAACGTTCAGTCAAACTTCTTCATATCTTGACTAGTGATATATACTAAAAAGTGATTGGCAAAACACGTGATACCACGCATCTTTAAGTTATTTCCTTGAAAATGAGAACGAACAAAAATACTATCTTGTTTAAAAGAAAATCCATCCTCACAAAAATATGAACAAAATATCAATAATCCCCCCAACCCCGCGCCAACCACAAAAAAACTCTCTGTCCCTTCGTTAAATTTTTATTATGTTCATTTCTATTGTTTACTTTCATTTTTCATAAAATCTTGATTTCTGAAGACATGCTTTCAAACCTGTTAACTAATATCCTGAAAATAAGAAAAAAAAAATATATGATATTTTAATACATTAAAAAACCATAAAATGGAGTTGACAATCTCTAGTGTTTAAGGTCTCTGACTTGACTTACATCTGAAAATTTACAGTTGAAGAGAACAGAACTTTACTACGAAATTTAATTTCCCTTTGTGAACTTTACATTTTTGTGAAACATAATCCTAGCAGTACGTACATAGGGAGTATATATTCGTAATCCGTTGGATCTGTACTGAATGACATTTTAAGCATAGGAGAACATGGTTCAATTAATCAATTGCAATTGGCTTTGCACTAACTTTCAATAACTGCGACCACTCTTAGATCGATCATTTGTATCTAAAAATAGGAAAGTGATGTGATGCAAATGAAATAACTATTCACCAGAGTCTAAGTGACGTGAAAGTAAGGAACTGTTTGTCACCCAAGTTTGTCAATATAACTGAACTGTAAACTGTCATACAAGTGGCAGGTGTAGCTAGCTATAAACCAGGTTTCACCCACCATTTATTCTGAGAATGCCTTTACCAATTCAGGAATATGGCAGTTGTTTTTCACTTATTCCGTTATTTGATAGCATTTGAAATTGGCAGTTTTTAGGACTTCCCCTTTATAAATTTGACTTGGAGTTCGGTATTTTTTCACCATTCGGTCTTTAACAATTCAAACGCGTAAACCCAACGGTCTAATTTATGACATAACAATGAATAACATCAGTAATTAGACAGGTAAACGAGGAAAGTGGTGGGGAGAAACATGTTTGTGAATGCGCAACCTTCACTAAATCAGAGACAGCATAATAAATGGTTGGAAATTGTTTAACCCAATAGATTGATTGGGCGACAAAATTAATGTAAATGTTGCTGAATTCCGAAAACTTATATGTTTTGCTGGTTTAAAATGTCACAGGGTTACGATTATTACACGTATATACTGACAGTAATGACATTTTTTTCCCTTTTAATATTTATATGTTTAGGGGGTGGGGGAGTGGGAGGGGGGGGGGTTAATGTCCATAGTTGATATTATTCGAAAGAGGAACACGAAATGCAATACAATTGTTGTTTTTATTTCCAGAAAAACCAAAGGAGCCCAAACAACGTCCGCTTGATTGCGGAGATGTCAAAACAAAGAAAGAAAACGGAATCTACAAGATATATCCAAAACATTCAGAATTTGGATTTGACGTGTACTGTGACTTTGAGATTGACAACACCGGATGGACGGTAATATTACTTTTATTGAGAGTTAAATCAAGTTAACTCAAAATAGATATATATTATACATCCAGTAGTGATCCATATCAGATTGAGAATAGATGTATGTGATATGAATATGAAAACTAGTTTAGCTAATGTTTCATGGCAAAAAAAGAGGTAATGATACAGGCAGTTTCTGAAATTTTTTGAAATAGTTAAACTTAGACGGGTGGTGGGCTTTCATTCAAACAACTGCTTCAAATCCCGTCAAGGCAAGTTGTACGTTAAACATGACATTAATTAGAGTTTATTTGTTATGAAATAAATGAAGTGAAAATCTTTGTGATTCAACGAGGTGAATACGAATATTTATCCCTCTTACCAGAGCTCCCCACCCGTAGCATCAGTATATTTCCCAAATCCGTTTTTGATACTGTAATAAGACTCGGAAGAGGGATCACTAGCCATGTTATGTGTTGTAGGAATGAGTGGTTAGATTATGTCACTATTGCATGCTTCCTGATATATGATAAGGTATATATGTTGTTGATTAAATAATAGTATATAAACACTAATCAGATGACAACTTTTTTTCACAGATGCGATTAAAACCACTGTCGTAAATGCATTCAGAATATTGTCAATTCTGTTTATCTTTCCATTAAGTAGCAAAATCGTAATCGCTGTAGATTATGCCAAAATATACGAAAAGGGTGGGGTACTTGATCTCTCAGCTGCTCATCCCTACCACAAAAGGATCAAACTCATAAGCCAAAAACAAACTGTAATATTTTGGCAAAGTTCGACAAAAATTCAGTCATTGTTCGTTTATACCTACTTGAAATACGTTATAAATGGTAAGAATAGTTGTTAGAAGAAAAGTAAACTTGTCGTTAAACGTTTCTTAGATGCTGATATACACCGATATTAAAATACATACTGGGTGTCCAGTGCTAAGGGCACAGTGGATAAACCTACATTGTTATCACAAAAGAATGAAAATTTGACTGATATTTGACTCTTTTGTACATTTGCGACACTGCTAGTTTGTTTTATTAAAAATTGATACCACATTGTCTATTCTATTATATAGATTAAATATTTATACAAAATTAGCCGTCGAATGCATGAAATCATTTTTGTTAAATTTATTCAGTGAACATGCAAAGTAGCAATTTTAGAGAATAACTCAAAAATGTGTTATGTCCCCTTTAATGGACTGAAATCGTAAAACTGCGGATTACAGTTATAAATGTTTTGATAGTTGTATATGGCATTTTTTTTTAAATTGTTGAAATAACTAGTTTTCGCCAAAACAAATTATGCCTTGTCTTACTAACAGTTTTATTCTTCTGAGAAAAGTTTCGACACACGCATGTTTTATTTTTTAGAATCATCTATTCATTATATTAAAAGACGATTTAACTGTTTTCCTTATGATATATTTTGTTAGGTGTTTCAGAGAAGATTTAACGGGAAGACAGATTTTTACAGAGGTTGGAATTCGTATGTAAATGGATTTGGAGATTTGGAAGCGGAATTTTGGTTAGGTAGACATGTTTTATAATTTTCTAAAACTAAGTATGACTTACTATTTTAGAATTTCGAAATTAGGATATCAAGTAAGATGTTCCAAATAATGTTGTATACACAGCTTACAAAATATGTCTTACTGTCATGCAGATTAAAACTTATGATATCACTTATGCCAAAGCACTGGCCTTTAACAATCAAATCATGCACGATCAAGTGATTTATTTCATACAAGGCTATTTAGAACTTTTTAAATAGGGAAAAATGGCAAGTTAGTTACTTGTGTTTAGTTCATAAATAAACTTGAAGGTTTGACATAGTTATTGATGGTCAAAGAAATTTAACCTTAACTGTATGTTAATGTTAGCAGAGACACATATGTCTCTGATATTAGTGAAAAAAGTTCGCCTATCAGGATAGAAAATAAAGAAAAACGGAATGAATTCTGTATCATTGTAACTCGATGTACCGAAGATAAAGCTTCCCCCAAATTACATGAAATTTAAATGCAATTTTAATTAGTGTATTTGTTAGCGGCAATAAGTGAAATTAAGCGTTAAGCTTAAATTCTTAGCAATAAGTTAAACATAAGCAGGAAGTAAATTGCCTAATGAAAATAAGCAGTCTTCTCAATTCCTATAATCTAAGCTGAAATCCTGAAAAAATGTCCAGGATTTAATTTTGATACCCACAATGTAAATGGGAGTAAATAAACAGACATTTATTTAAAGTTAAGATACATTTGGTACATAACAACATGTTAGGAATTAACAGTGTTTCATGAGTTTCATGAGATACTATTTTTAGTTACAGGTTGATTATTTAATAACACATATTTGTACATTAAAAGGTCATATACTAATGAAATTAGGTTAAATAATACCTTCAAATCAATTGCATCACATTTTCAAATCGTACACAAATATAATGTTTCCTATTATCCGTTATTTTACGTAACAGTATTGCACGATTTTAAAGTGACTGTGAATAAAAGACATGCATACAAATATAAGACTACAATTAATTTATGTTTGCTTAATAAGTTTGCATGACATCTGCTGTTATATAATTTTCACATTTTTTATTTTTTTATATCTTCACATTGTAGAACTTCATACCTACCTTTTTAAAAGTATTAAACAAAATTAACTTTGAATTTGATTTTGATCCAAAGAGTGTAAATATTCAGACAATGATGTATTCATATTTAGTAGCATGGATGTATATCACAGTATCTTAGATATGACCAAAGCAAGTGAAGCATGAAACAAGGTCAATGTGACCTACTTTTTTTCTGATTTGTTACCTATCACTTGAAATGCGGGTTCAATATGAGGTATTTTTTTCAAACTACCTGTCGTAAATACTATTTTTGTGGGAAGAAATCACTTTTTATATATAGCATATTAATTAGACAATACTTATTTGATTATTTAATTTCCTTTGTACAAACATGAAAAATCTACAAATATAATACCTGACTTGTTTCCAGAGTTTGAATCAGAATAATATGACCGGCTAAGATGACATGTCTTCCTGTGGATTTTTACCATGTGGAATATCATATTTATATTTTGCTGGATAAGTCTGTCGGTGAAGCAGAAAACAGGGTTCATATTAACTTCACATTAATATATTCTCGTCCAGATATGCCTTTAATACTTGCCACTGGATGACATTACATAAGCAAATCGATTTCTAACTTCTTGAATGTTTTTGTTTTCTCTCACTTACAAAGGTAATCAGTTCAATGTACTGCCTTTATATTTAATTTTAAAAGTAGATAATCTTATTTTATTCTTTTCAGCAATTACAGACTAAAGCAAAATTAGGTACAAACATGTAGTACTATGAGCTTGGTTTTTGTCTTTTGTGGGTCTTTGGCAATATGTTCCACACTTACCTCATTTTACCTCATTTAAAAAAAATGTTCTCACCTTGTATTTATTAAATAGGACATGTTTACTGTTACTGTTGTAGGTTTTTGTCTTTCTTAACGAAAAATGTAAACAGAAAGATTGATTTTTTTATAAATTCCCTGAATCAAATCTGTATATTAACATGATAAAATCTTGATTAGTTCAGGGATTTTGTAAAATCCCTAGTCAAAATCGCGGATTTTATAAAATCACTAATCAGTTCAGGGATTTTACAAACACCCTGAAATATCAGGGATTTTGATTTTCCAAATTCACTGTTACAATAACATATACACTTGAATTGTGTTTTTTTTTTTTGTCAATTTCCGAACTTCTTATTTTCCATTTTACGAAGGTGAATCACCAAATTGATAACAGTAGGAAATTTTGTATTCGTATTGCCAGTATTTGATTAAAACTTCATCAAAAAAATGTTTACGAAGTCAAACTCTATAAGAGAACGTCGGCGTTTTTTATAAAAAATTGAAATAAATGAATACATATAAAGGGACATCTAAAAATAGAAATTCTAAAGATTAATATCAAACCAATACCAGTAAAAATAGAAGCGAAGATAAGTCTAAGAATATATGAACATTCACAAAAAAAAAATAACAGTTTTGATGTGAGCATGTCTCCAGTTAAATTGCTCCAAAGTCTCCATTTTATGTGAAATAAATGAACATGATGAAGTCAGATAAAAAATCTAAAATACTGAATAAAAAAATGTCATTAGAAATGATGGTGTTCCACATGTCATTAAAATCAGAAATGATCTGTGTATTAAAGATTAAGTCGCCATTAAAAAATTAAGGCGTCAAAACCAATTACAAGAACAAGAAGGAGTTTATGTTGTGCGTGTCTCATGCGTTCACACTAATGTCCCAGGTAATTGGAGGGCTAAGCACTTTCAATTCATCCACGACAGATTTGGTATGTGCCTGTTCTTATCCAGGAATTTGCAACCCAGTGATTGTCGTGATTGCTGTCTGTCCATGCAGTTTTCGTTTCGTGTTTGAATATAAAAAAACAAAGAGCAGGCTTATTATTCGGTTTGCCAGACGCGCGCTTCAATTGAATAAGATTTATTAGTGGCGCTCGAAACAGTTGAAAGACCAAATCAGGAAGGAAAATCAAGAGCATTTGAAACTAAAAAAATCCAAAAAAACAAATCAAACAAGCCTTACTTTGTTCTAATGTTTCTAACTTTTTAGTTCAACAGATGTCCATCACATTTGTTGCTATCAATTCTATAAATCGCATTTGGTTATCTTTTTTAGGTAACCAAAAGATATACGCAATGACTAAGCAGAAAAACTACGAACTAAGAGTAGACATATCCGATTTTAATGGTCATAAAGCTTTTGCTAGATATGCAACATTCTCTGTAGGTGATGCTTCTACCAACTATAGATTAACTGTTGCTGGCTACAGTGGGAATGCTGGTAAGTTATATTACATTACCAAAAGAATAGCAATTACAAAAAAAAACCCACCTCAAAATGGATTACCCGGTACCGCCATGATAACCTCCTTATTGAATGTAATTCGTTAACGGTTTATAGTTGCGGATTCCCAAATATTATGGCCGTGTGCTCAACCGAAGAGACATTTGTTTCTAAATGTGTACCAAATGCATAAAGATTTGTAACAGATACAGTGTGAATTATTCATATGTTATCAAACATTTTGAAAGTAACCAATTCCGCATTATGGTCGCTATGAGAGCGTTTTAAAATTTCAACTTGCTGGAATACAAATTACTTGTATTTGTATATTGCAGCCGTTTCATGATTTGCTCATTTTATAAGCGGAGCAAACAATATAATTTCATTCTACTAATCTGGCATCTCCTAAAGCATGTAAAATGATGAACATGAAGACAAATAATGCATTTTGTTAAATAAGTGAATGGTTATTCAACGGTAAGACATATTAACACAGGATACCGATATCTGTGCGAAAGTCCTGTTTATTTATATATGTTCTTATACATTCTTGGCTTTCAAATATTGGTCTTTGAGCGTTCCTGATGAAGGTTAATCCAGAAAAGCTCTTCGGACGCATAAAATTTATAACGTGCTGTTTTATTTTTTTTAGTAGCCGTTATCAGGTATGATGTGGTAGAAAAGTTAAAGTAGCAAAATGCGTAGTAGTTTGTAAATATTAAATTTAAATGGAATATTTTTTCTATGACTGAGAATGATTTCATATTTAGTCTGGAGCTTGATAATGGTGAGTTTTTACATCTGCAATGCATTTACTTACTGTTTGCTAATAATATGACCTTTTACACCACTCATTGTACACTGAAATTGTTCGACAATCTTTTCTTGGCTTCTATAGAGGCATTTACTTTTTATGTTTGGTCTGAAGCTTGATAATGTTGAGTTTTCATGGTTGTAGCGTTTAAGAAATGTTAACATCCGCCATGCATCCTTTTCCTGCTTGTCGATAGTTTGAAATTCTATACACTCTTGACACAAGGAAATTTTCTTGGCTTCAATGAAAGGGAATGATTTATATTTGGACTATAGCTTAATAATGTATTACCTCAATCATGCTTGCAGCAACACAGGGCAAGAACTGTTATTGGTCTTGTTTTACTATGTTAAGGTATACCAGTAAAAGCATTTACGAAGGTGTTCTTTGGAACTGATGCAGGCAGATGTCAATTTTAACTTTCATTTTTATCGGATTTTGTAGTAAGGTTGTCAGGTGTTTATCTCCAGCTGCTTTTCCTTTTTTCCTCTGTTCTGTAAAAAGTATGAATAGTCTCTTGCATGCATCGCGACAAAGCATCTGGAACTTGCATTTCCCGTGAATTGGTTGATACGGGTTTTATTGATTTCAGTGATTTTCTGATTAAGCAATTGCCTTTACAACAAGAGATTTTAACAATTCTAAACGGTAAATTTTAATCTGGAAAGGCCAGAATGGGAGAGTTCTTAAAAGAATCAACCAAAAAGGCAACGTTTACCACTCTTTTTCCTTTTTTTGTAAAAGAATACACTACCGTGGTGGCTTAAATCCGTTATTTGAAATTGTCTTACCAACTTTAGTTTATACAAGAGTTCAGATTTAAACCTGCGTTAAAA